GAGCGAAGACTACAGCCAGGCATCGTCTTCACGGAGTTTTAGGCCAGTGTTGCAACAGAAGCTGAAAATCCGGGTGGAAAAATATCTGAAATTCAATAAAGGGAACTATAAATCTTGAAACAATATATTTGCCAGTAGGTTACTAGTCCCAAAATTGATTGTCAGGATTTTCATCAGTGGTACGTACGAATCGTTTTCACAATACATAGCATGTTAGCTACTATTAACTTTTTGGGAAAAAATAACCGAAATTTTGAATTGATAATTCCTCCTCATCCTTAAATTCATGATCTGAGGCAACGTGGAAATTGAAAGATACCCCACACAACACCTTTGATTACAAAATCTGTGAACCAGAAGAGTCTGAACTTAAAACTGATATTTCTGATTTAACCATCTATATTTTTTGCAATGGGATTTTCTGGTTGAGCAAATTAATTTTGACTATATTCATTTGTTTAATTTGGAAAGTTTATTAAGTATTTCTGCTTTCAGTGATCTTTTCTAACAAATACTTAGTTACTACTTCCAAAACAACCCACGTTATTTTAACTAATCAAATTATAAAAATACTGTTAATATATAATCTATTTCTATAATGTTACTATGATTTCTATACTTTTATAGAAATATATAATAAACATAATATCACAATGGCAAAACAATTATTCCAGTTAAAAAATAAGCACATGCTACATTCACAGACATAAATATTCAAATAAATTTGACTACCTTATTTAATGATATTAAAAAATTTAGGAAATTATGGATTGTTATGATAGGCTTCTAAGCTCGCACTCTACCACTGAAATAATGCAACTGACAGGAATTAAATAAGGATATTTATATGCTAACTGAACTAAATTACTTAGTCAAGTTTTTTGCTTGTTTACTTGTTTGTTTCTGTTTTGTTTTATAAAACCAATCATGTAGGGTGATATTAAGTGAAACGGGGTGTTGCTTATAAGAACCTGTTTTAGAAAATCTACAGACTTGATTATGCTTGAGGGTGTCGTGAGGTACACAGCAGAAGTCAAGTTGTGTTTGCCGTTACGGTGGCTGGTAGAATATTATGTCAGAAAATCACAGCCATGACATTAATGTTAGAAGGAGGGAAATGAGATCAAAGAGAACACACGAGAAGTGCATATTAACAAGAGACCAGGCAGTCACGCCAAAACACCACCCGCAGGTGTGCGTTGTTTAACCACCAACGCTTGTGTAGGTCAGCACACATTCTGATTTTGCACCCCTGCCTCCTTTTCGAGCTCCCCAAAAGTCTCTGTAATGGCCCTGTTATTGCCTTAGTGGGGGTACATAGAAAATAAGAGGAATTAATCCTGATATTTCCCAAGGTGGCTAATATGCTATATTATTCAAACAGCTAGAGGAGAGGAGCTTGAAAACACAAAGAACTGATAAATGTTTCAAATATGGAAATGCTAATTACCTAGATTTATCATTTCACATATGGATCAAATTACCACACTGCCCCTAAATGTGTACAGTTATCATGCATCAGTTAAAAAAAAAAAAAAAAAAAAAGTACCTTCTCAGCCCCAGGAAGCTCTAGGGGTGGGGAGACGGATGAGTGCGGAGGAAGACGAAGCAAAGATCCTCACAAGGTGCTGCATCAGTTGCTGACAAATGAACTCATGCTGTATGGCAAGCGTACAGTTGTGGGGGGAAAAGATAAAAAAGTACCTGCTACAGCAAGATGTAGCCTTGAGCCTCACCAAGGAATTAGGTCACAATTGTGGCAACATTTTATACTCAAAAAAAGTGGAGAAAAGGAAAGATTCACCTTGAGATATCATGAGATTTATAAAGTGCCTGGCTTTGTACAGACAAATCTTACTTCTGCCCAACCATTTGGTACACTGAACTTACCTTCTTACTGCTAAAATTTTGTTTTCCTGATTGACTTGAATCAAGTTGAGACTGTATTTATGACATTGTGATATTCATGATCTAAGATAAAGAATTTCACTGTCCATTAAGTAATTTAGTTTGAGCAGGAAGAAGAAAGAAAATGATTTTTTCCTCACTGAATTGACTTTATTTTCTCTACACAAACATCAGAAACATAGTTTTTAATGGAAAAAGAAAAATTAAGTCAATATGAGAAAATGTGGCTAAAGAATTTTAAGGCCTCATTAACAAAAGATATTAATATTGAGTCCCTTGTAATCTCAAGAAACATAGTGTCTTAAGATTTCTACTCTTGGCTGGGGGTTTAGCTCAGCGGCATAAGTGCCTGCCTTGCAAGCAGGCAGTCGTGAGTTCGATCCCCGGTACCGATAAAAAGGAAAAAGACAAAAAAAAAAAAAAAAAAAAAAAAAAAAGAATTCTACTCTTATGCTTCAATTAAAGGGAAGATATCTTAATAGTATAATAAAATCATGCAAATGAAAAAGTTATCAAAAATAGATACAAGAAAAATAAGACGATATTATTATTTGTTAGGATAAGATTGTACTACTAAGGTCTTTGTTAACATATTTGGCTACTGAGCTTAAACCAGTGTTAGGATTAGAAGATGTAGACACAACTACAAACACACTCAGCTACCTAATCTTTCACAAATAGACCAAGTGTGTTTACTGGAAGAAAGATAGCCTCTTTAACAAATGGTGCTGGAAAAACTGGCTCTCTCCATTCATGTGCTGGGAGAGAAAGTCACTAGAAATCTTAAAGACATAGGTGCAGGCAGAGTTCATGAACCAAACCCAGACTGCAAGGGGAATACTTTAAAGAATCAACAATTGGGATCTCATCTTACTAAAAAGTTTTTACACCGCAAATTAAATCACTAGCCAACTGAAAAGGCAACATACAGAATGAGAAAAAAAATTAATTTTTCCTCAGAGGAAGGATTTTATCTAGGATATATAAAGAATTGAAAAAATCAGACCCCTCAAATCCAAAGACCCAATTCAAAAATAGTCATCTGAAAGGAATACACAGTTCTCAGATTAAGTGACACAAATGACTTACAAATATATGAAAAAGTGTTCAACATCATTGGTCTTTCCAGAAATGCAAATTAAAACAACACTGAGATTGCATCTCACCCCAGAAAGAATGGCCACTGTCAACAAATCGCCACTACAAATGCTGAAAGGACTGCTGAGAAACAAAACCTCTTCCCCACTGTGGTGGGAGTACAGAATGGGGCAGCTCTCCGTGGAAATCAGTGTGCTCATCCCTCAGCTCTAGGGTTAGAGACCCCATTTGACCCAGTTATTCCTCTTCCAGGTATTTTCCCAGAAGAATTAAACACATCATGTCACAGCAATATATATGCAAGCATGTTTATAGCAACACAACTTGTAATAGCTAAATCTTGGAAACAACCCAAATGCCTACAAACCAAGTAATGCTACAAACAATGTGGTATTTTTATGCAATGGGATACTACTCAGCCATAAAGAAGGATAAATTTGAAACTTTTAATGGTAAATGGATGCAACTGAGACCATAGTCACAAGTAAAGTATATCAGACTCTCATATGTAAACACTGTTTTATCTCCCTGGTGTGAGAAACTGAAAGAGTAAACAAGGTCTGAAATATCCAGTAGACACTGTGAAGTGGGATTAAATTGTTCAGAAGCAAAAGGATCTGGATGAGGGAAAGGAGAGAAAGGAAAAGGTAAAAATGCAAGTAAGTCACACTATTTGTGTCTCTCAAATCATTGAAAAGGAAGGTTTGTGCTAATAATGATAGGAAAAAGTTTTATTTTATTTTAAAGAGGGAAAATAAAAACAAACAAAAAGGTGCAAGAGAAACAAGAAACAAGAGAGACAAGCTATAATCACAAAAGCCCTAAAACAGAACCATATAGGCTTTAAAAACAAGGCGGGAGGGACTTTAAAAAGCTGTTATTTTGCATAGTTATCTTTTAAAAAATTTAATGCCTGTATGTTACATTCTGAATAGCTAGTTTAAAGATAACAAAATGCAGTGTGTTAACTGTTGTGATGTTCTTATTATTTTGCTGGGAAGTTGTGTTTTACCTTCTTTTTCATAAAATAAGGCCAACAATTTTATTGTTAAATGGTTTATTCTTTTTAGGCACATTTATTTTAATGATAAGTTGATAATCCTGTTTTCTAAGTGCTGTTGTGTCTAAGGGGATGTGTGAGAGGCAGGGCGTTATTAATGGCTGCTTGATCTGAGAAGGAATCGAGCGTGCTCTGCTCACCCCAACCTTCCCTCCCTGTTCTCCCTCGATGGTGATTATTTGTAAGATGATGCCACAGTGTAGGTGTCAACAAATCAATCAGTCTGTCCATCCTGTGACAGTGTCTTCCCAGAGCCTTGCATGTGGCACCCCATACACTAGTGTGTACATAAAACTATATTCTGCGTACAAAGGTGTATGTTTTAATTAAAATTCATTTAAATAGCATACAGGGAGAAATACTGGGATGGATTATCTAGATGAGATTGTGCTGTGATGTTTCCTGGGAGTGTTTTAAAAGCTCCACAGGAATTCTTTGAAAAGCCCCAAAGATAATTCTGGGTATGACTTTGCCGTGCTGGGGGTTATACAGAATACCAGCAAATTCTTCCCTTCCGCCTGCATTTACTTATTAATTTATCCTACATCCCCAGATTTTGTTGCATCATTTTTAGCTTTGAATAATAGGCGTGCTAGCTTTATAATAAGATGAACTAGATCCATTACACTAAAAGATATACCCTGTTCGTGAGTTTCTAGCAGCTATCAAGGCATCATCAAATGCTGTTTATCTTGGGGAATGAAAGTCTGAGTGGAAAATTGAACTCCCACCTGGCTGTAGCCGTGCAGTGGATCATTTTGTTCTTTAATGTCACCCTTCACTGGCTGCACTTCACAGAGCAGTGAATCATGCTTAAAACAAACAGCCGTTAATGACAGAGGTAACCCAGCAGCAGCGGATAATAAGTGGTGGCGGCCTTAACTTTCTTGGGTGCCTGATGGACAATTTACAAAGTGCATGTGCTGTTTTACAGATTGGAACTTGGGATCCAGCCAGCGGCCTGAATATGACAGAAAGTCAGAAGGGAAAGCCAGCTAATATCACAGACTCCCTCTCGAATCGGTCTCTGATAGTTACCACCATTTTGGTAAGTATCTGTTTTTCCACTATTCTGAGATAAATGTAGATATCCTGGAAGTGGATGTAAAATAAATTATAATTTCTTCAGTAATGAACACAATGTTATACTTTACAGTTATTTAACAGTTGCTATAAAACAGACAAGTCAATGCTAATTTACACAGTTTTAATTTTTAAATATTCAATAATGTAAATTATATTAATGTCAAATGTTTACACAGATTAATTTTACAGCTTCATGTTTTACTGGAAATCATTAATTACTATAAATATAGTTGACAATAAATGGCAGTATCAAAATTTAAAAAGTACACAGATGTGCTGTGAAGATTGCAGATAAGATGTAGACATAGATTAGATACAGATATGTAGCTGTACAGATACAGATAGGTTGATGTTTCTCTGTATATATGTTTAAATGAGAAGGCAACCATCCATCTGATTTCTGCTCTTTTTTCTAAATATATTTCAGAGGATACAGTACTCATTTTTCAGTATTATCTCATTACATTTTTACTGTAAGCTTGATTTCCAGCTCCTTGTTTTAGTTTGGATGATCACTTTTATTTTTCCAGTCTCACATATGAAATCGAATGCCTAGTGTATTTTTAAGCCAGAAATGGCTTACACTGCTAGCAGAAATAAATTAACGCAGATAAGCTATATATTATTACCTCTGTTATAATTATGTATTATAATTAAGTTGGGAAATAATGGTCACTTATGCCACTTACAAAAGGAAATTTTAAAGTTAGAATAAGGAGCTCTGGTATTATTAAGTCAGTAATTTCTACAGGTAGGATAAGCTTGTCAACACCTATGCTTACGGTTCCTCAAGGAGGCAGGAAAACGGATAATTAGTGTCCAGAAGAAACCATGACACATATTTAGCAATATATGATTTCTAAAAGTGATTTACAGTGAAAAATCAAGTCAGGAAGGATTCATGTTCCTGCCCATTTTGTAATAAAAATGGGTGTCAGGATTATAGACATGTCAGAATAAAGTAAAGGCTTCAGTAACGAAACAAAGCTGGTAACCATGAGATAGCAGTAATGGAAGTTACGAAGTTTCTGAAATCATTTCCATGCTAAAGACCTCAGAACATCATATCCAAACTTTCAAAATCCTCTTTAATTAAATTTTAGATCTTTTTTTTTTTATTTTCAAAAGTAGCTCCACCAACCCAGCCCTGTACTTAGTCAAAATGTCCTCAGCCAGGTGTGGTGGCATAGACCTGCACGCCTAGCACTGGGGAGACTGAGGCAGGAGAATTTCTGTGAGTTCATCGCCCTAAACTAGGTAATGAGACTGTCTCTCAAAAATATAAAGGAAAATGTCCTCACAAGACAAGAGCACATCTTTCTTGTCCACTGACCACTGTGTCTTTAATGTCATCCCCTCTTGAGAGGACTGTTAAAGTAATCATGTAGCCCTCTGCCATACTCCTTACCTTCTTAGTTTTGACTGCTCCCAACTTGTATTCTCGTTTCCTTAACAAGAGGCCTGTGCTCCAGCTGGCCTGGTACAGCTTCCTGCTGTGACCGTCAGCCTTATTCTCTTTTATTTATTTATTTATTTATTTATTTATTTATTTATTTTTGTCTTTTTCATTTTTTATCGGTACCAGGGATCGAACTCACGACTGCCTGCTTGCAAGGCAGGCGCTTATGCCGCTGAGCTAAATCCCCAGCCCCTAATCTTATTCTCTTTCTTTGCAAGCTCTTCCCCTCCACTTCTGAGCTATGACAGGACCCGTCAGTACTGTAGACGACTCAGAATTTACATTATGCTGGTCTTTGATTCATTCTTGGGTGTATTATTTTGGCAAACATCACTAAACATTTCTTGGAGGAGCAGACTTTGACTGTGTCCTCTGTTTTTACTCTACACAGTGCTTGCAGCATAACCATCATTTGATTTTTTTAAATTTTTGAAAGGTGTGCATGTCTGTGTATCCACCAGGCCTGGAGCTATGCAAGGTCAATCATTAAATTTTATACCAAGTTGCTAACTTGCCCAGGCTGAGTTAGAACTTGCGATTCTCCTGCTTCAGCCTCTTAGAATGCTGTGACTACAAGTTTGTAGCACTGTGCTTGGCTTAGAAATTGTGTTCGATGAACAAAATACACACAGGCTTGGCCCATACCGAACTTTAAAAGTGCTCACACATGCAGGGTGTGTGTATATGCACACACACGCGCGTGCACTATGTGATTTAGATGTGGGAGAACAGTGAATACTGTGTGTTACAGTGATGCTTTGTCGTCGTGAAGGCATCACGGGTTAGGATTCCAGGCGGAAGCATAGATCGTTGATATCCAAAGTCTACGGAGGAGTTCGCTAAGACAAGGAAGGGGAAGGAGTGTACAGACAGAGAAAGTACCTTATGCAAGGGCAAAAGCAGGACAGATCGTGGGACACTTGGAAAACCGAAAGACACCCGTGATGCCCGTGGCAGGTGCTTTGGTCTCCTTTTCTTCTTGATCCGTGCGTATATGTGACTGCTCAGAAATAAGGATAGAGGACATCTACCATGTGTCTTTTAAGTGACAGAAATAAAAAGGCACTTTCCATTCATTTAATATTTACAGTTACCTTTTGAGGCAAGTACTGGTGTTTACATCACTTCTTCTCTGAGAAACCTGCTATCTAGACTGCCTGAGTAACCCGCTTGTGCTCACGTAGCTGAAAGCAGAGACACAGACTTCTCCGACCCTTTGGGCCAACTTGAGCTACTCACACTGTAACATGGAACTTCCAGTGCCCCACAATGGAAACGCCTGACCACTGCAGTTTGTGAACAAAATAGCACCTTGTTAAATGCTCTTTCCCTCCTTGCCCTCCAGAAGGCCCACACATGCCCGCGTGCTGTGTAGGCTTGCAGGTGTGCCTCAATCCCCAGCCATCTCCCCGGAGGCCACTGTGTAGACTGCTCTGGCTGCAATGTGTGGGCTTCTTGTTTCTTTGCTCCTTAACTGAGCACTCAGTTTTCCATCAGCTTTTCTAAATCGTAATTTCTGATTCTTCTGAGCAGATAAAAGAGGGTTGTAGCTTTTCTCATTTTTCTATTTAGAATTGAGATGAAGAATCGAGGTGTTCATAAATGCTTTTGCTCCATTTTGTCAGCACACTTTAGAGCCGATATGTTGTGCAGATCGGTACAGCACAGAGTTGTGCATTGCCGAGGGTGCACTTCAGGAAACACTCCACAGCTGAATTAACCTTTTGTTTAAAAGCAAGACTTCAGAGACTGTATGTCTGGAGATGTGTGTGTGTCCTTGTTTACATTCGGCAAGTAAAGCTCTGGTCTGCTGGTGCCCTGCTTCCACTGTGTTTCTCCATGTTGCTTCACTGAGCTTTGAATTTCAAATTCAATTATTGTTAAAATTCCCTGGATTTTTTTGTGTCTACTCTTCTTAATGGAGATAAAATTATCCATTTTAGAATCATGCTTGGTGTCTGAAAATTTTGTTAATTTGTAGAAGTTGTTAAAAATACAGGTTTCAGAATGCCAAAAAACAACGACAAAAACATTAATTCTGATCAGGCTAGAGAGATCTTTAAAAGAGTATGCGATGGCTTTTGTTTATAATGTCACCCTGCTGACAGTCCTCCCATGTAACCACAGCTAAGGCAGTATTAGAAAAATGAATATGTATTTAAGTTCATATAGACAATGCTTTTCTCCTTCTGAGTTTTTGGTTTTAAATAGATTTTTTTCACTCCTATCTAAATATGCTGAGTGCCTCCCACTGTGCAGCTTTGGCACAATAATTGTTTTTTGTCCATCAAAAAATTACCAGCGTTTAAATGCTACTGTACATGTTCTTTCTCTCCCAAACTAGGAGCACTTTAGCATGCAAATAACTGTGTTGGAACCGTGCATTTACCTTCTCAGGAAAGCATTTGCTCTCAAGGAAGGTTTTAAGTCCCAGTTGTTCAATGAATTTAATAAACACATCTTCACCTGCAACTTTGTGTTAATTTTTATTTTCTAGCACATTCTAGAAGGTTATGCACTGTAGTATCCAGTTTCCTTGCTTAGGCTTGTAAAGCTTTTTTCTTCTTCCCCCTTCCCCTCCCATCCCCTCCCCTCCTCCCCTCTCCTCTCCTCTCCCTTCCCATCCCCTCCCCTCCCCTCCTCTCCTCTCCTGTCCTCTCTTGTCCTCCCTCCCCTCCCCTCCTCTCCTCTCCTGTCTTGTCCTCCCTCCCCTCCCCTTCCCTCCCTTGTCCTCCCCTCCCTCTACCTCCCCTTCCCCTCCTCTCCCCCCTCTCCCTCTCCTCTCCCCCTCCTCTCCTCTCCTCTCCCCTCCTCTCCCCTCCTCTCCCCTCCTCTCCCCTCCTCTCCCCTGCTCTCCCCTCCTCTCCCCTCCTCTCCCCTCCTCTCCCCTCCTCTCCCCTCCTCTCCCCTCATCTCCTCTCCCCTCCTCTCCCCTTCCCTCCGCTTCCTCTCCTTTCCTCTCCCGTCCCCTCCCCTCCCCTCCTCCCCTCTCCTCTCCTCTTCTTTTTTATCACAGCCAGACACAGAGGCTTATTTGGGAGCAAACTGCCAAGGACAGCAGAGGGGTTCATAGTACAGAGGAGAGAAGTGACAAAATCATCCCGTAAATGATTCTGTATTCTTCCTTAGTATCAACAAAAGCAAATTTCTTTAAATCTGCCACTGCAATAAGTTTTCTCTCTGATTCTTCTCTTTCCTTTGCTGCAGAAGTGTGGTCACGTTTTTGCTCACGGTTACACAGCATTTGGATTTGGAAATCCAGATGCTGCAGTTTCCGAAGTAACCAGATTTGGATTCTTAGCTATGTACGCACCAATTATAGGCAATTGTAAACATGTATTGTAGGAATAATAAGGTTAAATAACACACAGATGAACTAGGCAAAAGTAAACCCGGTGACCTGTGAGAGGAGAGCGGCTCATTCACGCCCAAGTCTCCGTGTACCCCGTTTGGCAGCTCGCTGTTCAAAGACCACCTCGCATTCTCAGCAGACTTTCCTTCTG